TGGCCGCGGCTAGAGAAAGTCGTCCTGCTTGCACTCCTGCTTGCGCTCCTGTCGCGGTGCTGTGGCGTCATGCCGGGGCAGCTTGACAGATGAAGCTTTCCAGAAAGGGCCACCCCTTCGAAGGATCGAGAAGTTGATATCTCTTCCTCGGCGGAAGGTGGAGGGAGTCCCGCGGAAGGCGGCGGAAGCAAAACAAGGACACCTCCACCGACAGATGCCGGCGGAAGCTCGGAGGAAAGACAAGTCGCGCCCTCAAGAGATGTCACCATTTGGGGGATCCAGGCTTTCAGGAACGGCGTGAGTTGGTTTCGCTGGGGTCGTCTTCACCACGTCGGATTCGTTGGGGTCGGTTTCGCCGGAAGTCGGTTTCGCTGGAGGTCATTTCCCTAGAGGTCAATTTCGCCGGGGTCGGTTTCGCCCAGGTCGGTTTCGCTGGGTTCGGTTTCGTCGGGGTCGGTTTCGCCAAGGTCGGCTTTGCCGACGCCTAGGTGTCTCGAGTTGTGCGCAAGTTCGCCTGTCGCCCCCTCCAGCGTTCGCACGCGTGCACGGACGTCGGTGGAACGTTCAAACATTATGCATTACGCATCATCGAGTTGGCACGCGTGGGCGGACCTTAACGGGCGGGACGGGCGGGGCGGGCTGACCCAGGGTCGAGTAGGCGGGTCATGAAAACATGATGCATCGTCGAGTTGGCACGCGTGCGCGGCAGGCGGGTCGGTCGGGCGGGACATTCAGAAAGCAGTTTGTATCATCGAGTTGGCACGCGTGCCTGGCGGGCGGGTCGGGCGGTTCAGATGGACCCTAACGGGCGGGTCGGGTCGGGCGGGCGGGCCCTTGGTCGGAGCGGCGGGCGGGCGGGCGGACCCTGGGTCGGGCGGCGGGCGGGCGGGCGGGCGGGTAGGGTCAAGCGGGCGGGCGGGTCGGGCGGGCGGGGCATTAAAACAGGATGCATCATCGAGTTGGCACGCGTGCACGGCGGGCGGGCCGGGTCGGGCGGGCGGCCCTAGAGGGCGGATCGGGTCGGGTGGGCGGGACATCACATGTTGATGATGCGTCATCGAGTTGGCATGCGTGCGAGGCGGGCGTGTTGGATCGGGCGGGCGGACCCTTAGGGGCGAGTGGGGTCGGGCGGGCGGGACAGGTCAGGCCAGCGGCGGGCGGGACATTGAAATATGATGCATCATCGAATTGCCACGCGTGCGAGGCAGGCCGGTCGGGTCGGGCAAGCGGACCCTTACGGGCGGGCCAAGCCGGGCGGGCGAAACCTGACGGGCGGTACGGTACGGGCCGAGCGGGCGGGACATTCAAGCATGATGCATCATCGAATTGGCATGCGTGCGAGGCGGGCGGGTCGGGTCGGGCGGGCGGACCCACACGGGCGGGTCGGATCGGGTCGGGCGGCGTGCGAAACCGACCAGGCGAAACCGACCGCGGGCGAAGCTGACTGGGCGAAGCCGACCACGGGTGAAACCCGTCGGGCGAAAACGACCCGGGCAAGGCCGCCCGGGGAAACCAACCGGGCGAAACCGGCCAGCCTCTCTGGAACCCGCCAGATGAGATTAGTCATCGTACCATTTGTAAATAAGGATCAGAGGGCCCCCATCCTCACAATAAGCACCCCTGCACGCGAAGTCCGCTGGGAAGCGCGCCTGAGGAAGAAATCGGGCACGGCACGACTGTTCAGTAAACGCCCATGCCTGTTCAGCAAACGCCAGTTAGGGGGTGCTCCTCGCTTGAATTTGACCAGGATAGTCGAAACTGATTAACACCCTAGCCCCTCACCCTAAACACCCTAGCAGTTCCAAGCCGATTTGCTAGCTGTGCCGCACGTGACACGCCTTGCGGGAATTCTTCAATCTCCTCCTCTCTTCCTCCTCCTCCTCCTCCTCCTCCTCCTCCTCCTCATCATCATCATCATCATCACCACCACCATCACCATCACCATCACCATCGCCATCACCATCACCAGTACAATCCCCATCATCATCATCATCATCATCATCATCATCATCATCAGCATCATCATCATCATCATCCTACTCATCACCACCACCACCACAATGATAACATTCATCATCATTATCATCATCATCAGCATCATCATCATCATCATCATCGTCAGCATCAGCATCAGCATCAGCATCATGACCATCATCATCACCACCATGATCATCATCATCATTATCAACAAGATCATCATCATCATCAGCAGCAGCATCATCCTCACCATGATCATCATCATCATTATCATCATTATCACCAACATCTTCATCATTATCCTCATCATCATCCTCATCATCATCCAAATCAGCATCATCATGTTCATCATCATCATCATTATTTTCACCCTCTTCATCATCACCATCGTCATCATCGTTATCATCATCATCATCATTCCTCCTCTTCCCCTTGCTTATCATCCTCCTCCTGCTCCTGTTCCTCCTCCTCCTGCTCCTGTTCCTCCTCCTCCTGATCATCATCATCACCACCATCAGCATCATCATCATCATCATCATCATCATCATCCTCACCACCACAACCACCATCATCTTCATTGTGATCATCACCATCATCACCATCAACACGCTACAACAGCAACGACACCAACAATAACAACAACAGCAACAATGACAATAACAACAGTATCAACAACACATACAACAACAGCAGCAACAACAACAGCGACGACGACGATAATAGCAACAACAACAACAGCAACAACAACAACAATTATCACAGTGCTACCCTACCTAGGAGTTGAAGCATCTAGGAAAGCAACATCTACATCTACACCGACAGCTACATTGACATCTACACCTGCCATCTACATCTACATCACCATCAACAGCGAGACTCACGTCTACATCTACATCCACACCTACATCTACACCTGCCATCTACATCTACATCTGCATCTACACCTGCATCCACATCTACACCTACACCTACATCTACATCTACACGTTCGCATTGGTTTTGCTTTTGCGTTGCATGCTATGCTATGGTATGCTATGCTATGCTATGCTATGCTTGGCTATGCTATGCTATGCTGTGCTAATGCTGCGCTGCGCTATGCTGCGCTGCGCTAAGCTAAGCTATGCTTCGCTATGCTATGCTATGCTATGCTATGCTGCGCTATGCTATGCTATGCTATGCTGCGCTATGCTATGCTATGCTAGGCTATGCTATGATATGCTATGCTGCGCTATGGTATGCTATGCTGTGCTATGCTGCGCTATGCTATGCTATGCTATGCTATGCTGTGCTGTGCTGTGCTATGTTATGCTATGCTGCGCTGTGCTATGCTAAGCAGTGATATGCTATGATATGCTATGATATGCTGCGCTATGCTATGCTATGCTATGCGATGCTGAGCTATGCTATGCTATGCTATGATTTGCTATGCTATGTTTGGCTATGCTATGCTATACTGTGCTAATGCTGCGCTGCGCTATGCTGTGCTGCGCTAAGCTAAGCTAAGATAAGCTGAGCTATGCTAAGCTAAGCTAAACTAAGCTAAGCTAGGCTAGGCTAAGCTAGGCTAGGCTAAGCTAAGCTAAAGCTAAGCCAAACTAAGCTAAGCTAAGCCTAGCTAAGCTAAGCTAGGCTAGGCAAAGCGGGGGATCCTGGGGGAACCACGGGGCGGATCCTTGGGGAACCGCCCTGGGCGAGGACCACTGCCAGGCCCCTTAAGCTTGCACGGTAAGAACCCTTCTAGGCAGAGCCTAGGTAGGGAACAACAACAACAACGACAACAACAACAACAACAACCACAACCACAACCACAACCACGACCACAACCACAACCACGACCACAACCACACCCACAACAACAATAATCGTAACAACCATCATAACCATCACAACAACAACAACAATACTAACAACACTAACAACACTAACAACAACAACAACAACAACAACAACAATCATAATAATAATGTCAACAATATCGTCATCATATTCATCCTCCTTATCTGTACCCCTCCTCCTCCTCCCTTCAACCTCCTCCTCGTCCTCCATCTCCTCCTCCTCCTCCTCCTCCTTCTCCTCCTGCTCCACATCCTAATCCTTCTCCTTATCTGCCTTCTCATCCATTCTCGTGATCTTCAGGGAATCCTGGATCAGAAGGACCCACTCGCCATTGCTCGGCTCCATTCTCATCTCGAGCCGGGCGTGCACCTTCGAGATGTGAGGCCTCCGGAGGATGACGTCGCAGTTTTCCCGCCCAACCACCAGCACGCGACTGCTTGGCGTCAACTGCATGAAGTCGGGACCAGCGGTCCGGTCCTCGGGGGCCCCCGACGCGGGACACGCAGCTCGTGCAGGAAATCACCAGGGAAGACGCGGCCAACGGCCCTCTCCCACGGAACGCAAGAATGAGATTTTCCCGGACCTCCGACGCAACATTTTTTCACGAAAGAGGTCCTGGAGCTCTGGGTCTAGCTGCGGCGACGGGAGTTGGCGGCGCGCAGATGGGGGTGGCGCGAGAAGGGCGGCCGCCTTCTATGAAGACGGAGGTTCTCATAAGGCGTGGGCTCCCGTAAAAGGGCCTGGAGGCTTCCATGAAGGCTTCTAAGAAACCAGGGGGGCGTCCAAGAAACCTGCCGCACTCGCGCCACGCCATTGTGCGCGCCGCCAAGAGGGCGATCCGGACGCGGCGACGAGGCGGATCCAGCCGCAACGACGAGGGGCCCTCCGAAGGCCCAGAAGAACTGGCTTGTTACCTATGCCGTGGGCCGCGCTGTGCTGCCAACAGCGCCCCTGACCCAAGGTGCCCACGCGGCCTCCCTGAGCCCCTGCGTGGCCAAGGGAGGGGGGGCCCTCAGCTCCCCAATGGCGCGGAAACCTGGGCACACCTTAGGCCAGGACAACTTCGGCAACCCCGATGAACAGGGGGAGGAGGGTTCGTTTTGCATATGCGCTGAGGGGGGGCGCCCAACGTCCGTCGTCGCGCCGCATCGGTTCAGCCTGAAGCAGGGCACGAGCTGGACTGGCGCCTGCGCCGGCTGTTATCTTGGCCCCCTGCCGCCGCCCAGGGGACCACATCACGAACAACGGTGACGTCGCAGGAGAAAATCACAAGGCACCAAATCACAACGACGGTCGCGACAGCAGATCAGGATCCCAAGAGGAAAAAACACAAAGAGACAATCTGAATGCGCTCGCGCCACATTTGGCTTCCTGCCCCATCCAACCTGTTTCTTCCCATTGCGTTGGATCCCCCTCTTGCCCGCCGACTAAGATATGCCAGAATGCCAGAAGGTCTTGGCCCCGAATTGGCAGTTGCAGGAGGTGGCCCATGGTTTACTGCACGATCGGCAAGGGGAGGCTGGAACTCCGGAAGGGGAGGAGTGAGGGGATTCGGCTGGATTCGGCTGAGGGGCCACGGCGTGGCGAGAAACAATCGAGTCACTGCTATCATCATCCGCAAACGTCGCACTGCTGACATCCAGACTGCCAGCTGAGAGCGGCCGCCACCACGAGAGGGCCACCCCCTTGCTCAGCACAGGAGAGAAGGGCGGAGAGCGGCAATCATGCGGCGGGCCCCCTTCGCAGGCCAGCTGCATGGACGAGGCCGCGCGGGGCGGCTGGCGCGCGGGCGGCGGCCCCAGGTACGGTCCGGGGGCCCGTCCAAGAGCACAGGGTGGCGCAGGTGGCGGCGGTGCTAAGGGGCGGGCTCACAGCCAGGCTTGGGAAGGCGCCGGCGGATGCCGCGCCGATGGCGATTTGATAGCAGAGGGATACGGGCGGAGGCGGCGGAGCCCTGGAAACCGGAGACTGGTCGGCCCAGAGCACCACGCGCCGCGCCTCTGCCACGGCCAGGGCAGGGGATGCAGGTGCCGAGCTGGGCGGGGCGGCACTCGGCACGGTGTTCTGGCGGCCTTCCTGAGGCTGAGGTTGAAGGCGTTATTTGGCGAGTTCGCGGTGCTGAAGAAGCGCGGGTCTGCCAGTCGCCCAAGCGGTGCATGTCCCAGACGCCCGCGACCGCGACCGCAAAATCAGGGCAGATGCGCCAAGGGCCGAAGCGGGGGGCAAGGGGGCCTAGCGCCTAGCGGGAAGACCGCGGCGAGGAATTCGCGCCACACACAAACACGCACGCGCGTTTTAGCGGTCGCGGCCCCGCGCGCACCGACGGGGCGGAGCGAGTGGAGCAGTCGGCACCGAACTAGCGTGCGCGCCCAGACCCTCAGACGCGGGACCGCGTTGGATCGACCGCGCAGATCCACCCAGGCATGGTGGGGAATGACAAACTTGAGGCAGCGATGAAGATGGAGACGGCCGTGCCCGACGAGCGACGCCAACGGGGCGCGCAAATATGACTGGGCTGAAAGCCGAAGAGACGGAAAGCCAGCCGTAATCAAGAGGGAAGGGGCGACGGATAAAGAAATCACCACGCAGTCCCAGAATGGGAAGACGGGCCTGGCAGCAGCGGCAGCGCGAGCTGCGGGTAGGACGGCGGGGCCCCGGGCTAGCCCTCCGAGAGACGGCGGGGCGAACCCGCCACGAGAGATTCCCCAGCAGACCCAGGATGCGAGATCCTTGCTGGGAGCTGGAACAGGAAGGAGCTGAGCAAGTCGCCCGTGTAGAGGTCGGGTTCCACCATGGGCCCCTCGCCGCCACCCGCGAGCGATCCGTCAGCGATGGCCCAATCGATCGGCCTGCGCGGCACGGGGGGCGCCGACCGCAAGCGCGGCGGAGACGCGAGAGGAGACCCTCGCGGAAGAGCCAACGCTACAGGGGGGCGGAGTCGGCCCGGCGAGGGCCCGCTGCTGGGGCGGAAGGGCCATGCCGAGGGCGTCGCGGCGCTCGCCAGACCGCGCCCTGGTCTTGACCTGGCCTGGGAGGCGGAAGACGGGCCGGCACCGACGGCCATCGCGCTGGGACGCGGGCGACTGGGAGGGGCGCGGCGCGCCTGGGGCATCGCTGAACAAAGAGGGGCCGGCGTCGCTCGGGCGCCTGCAGCGGCCGGAAAGTCAGCGCGGGCCTTATTGGCGAGCGATGTTTTCCAACCTGAGCCTGGCGCGCCAGCGCCGCGATCCCTCGGGGCGGGGCCCGCCGGGGGCGCAGGCCGCTGGGCGCGGCGCCCCTCGGCGGCGGGGCGCGGGCCGCCTTGGCAGCGGCGCCCGCGGGGCCGGAGGCGGGCTGGATCCAGAACGGGGGGCGGCGGCGGCGCCGCGGGGGCCGGGCCGCTGCTGGGCCGGGGCCAAATCCGCCATGCTGCGACAAAACGCAAACCTCTTCCGGCGATGCCCGACGGGCGAAAGATGGCGTCGGGCGAGGCGGCGCGGCGGGCGCGCGGCCGCGGGAGCTCGCGCAGCAGGGGCGGCGGCCGCGGGGGGCGCGGTCTCACCAGAGCGCGCCGCACGTCTGGGGCCGCGGCACTGGGCCGAAGCAAAGCCGGGAATAATGGCGTCACCCAGCATGAGGATCCGGCGGCCGCCTTGTCTGGGGCGTGCCTTGACGAGCCCCCGGCCAAACTCGCGCTGCTCGGCGAGCTCGAAAGACCGCCGGCAATCGGGCCGGTTGTTCTCGAAGCCGCCCGCGGCGCCGCGGCAGCAAGCTCGGGGGGGTCGAGCTCGGGGTCGACGCGGAGGGCAAGAGGAACTCGCGCCGCGCGCCCGACTGGCCAGCGAGGGGCCGCGCGGGGGCGAGGCGCGCGAGAAGTTCAGGGGCTGGGAAATTGGTGGCCGGGTCGAAATCGCGATGGGTTCCTGTTGTTCGCGGGACGGCGCCGGCTGGGCGCGCGCCTTTCCTGGTCTTGCCGCCGCGAGTGCGCTCGAAGAAGCTGGCTAGCGACGGGGTGGGGCAATGCGACGGGTCGGCCCGGTTCACCTGATGGCGCATGAGCAAGTCCCGCCACGTGGTGGCCTGCGCGCAATCCAATTGGACGCTACGTTTCGCGACGCCTTGTCCTGGCACGGGAGCTGGGGGACGGGGGGCCGGCGAGCAGGCTGAAGGTCTCCGCAGAACCAGCAGGGTGGGCAGAGGATTGGGCCTGCGAGCCAGGGCGCCTGGCGCGCGCCGAGGGGCCCGTCGCGCTGCGCGACTGGCCTGGGCAAGCGTTGCTGGGGCGCGCTGGCCGCGGCCGCCTCCGCGCCCGCGTCGGCGGGCGGGCGGTGGCCAAGATTTCCGATTGCGGGGAGGCTCCGGGGGCAGATCCACCAGCGCCCCGCCGTCGGCGGAAGGATCCTCGCCGTCGCCGTCGGTCTGGTGGGCGCGGGCGGCGGGGGCCGGCGCGGCGGCCGGCGCCCGTTCTAGGCAGGGCCAGCGCGGCGCGGCAACGGCCACGGCGAACCCCGGCAGCAGAGAAGCGCCATGCGAAGGAAACTCGGCGACGGACCGCGCCGCGAGGAAACCAACGGAGTCGAGCTGGGGGGCGCCAAGCTGGACCCGCCTGCACGCCAGGAAACTGCAGGGCAGGTCGCCGCTCCACACGCTGGGCTTGGTCGGCGCCGAATTCGCCCACCAACCGTTGCGCTTGCCGCAGGCCCCCCGTTCCGAAACCCCGCGGGCGGCGCTGACAACAGCGATGACACCCGCGAGCCGCTCCGGCGGAAAGGCCTGGAGGGCGGTCGGCGCGGCCAGCCGGGGCACGGCCGGCGGCTTTGTCGGCCCGGCCGGCAGGCGGCGGGCGACCGGAGGTGGGCCCCAAAGTGATGCGATCAGCTATGGCCCAGATCGCCCGCGCGTGAGGATGGCCCGCCCCCGCTCCTCGGTCGCGAGGGCGCCCGTGAAGTCGCCGGCTGAGGGGTCGAAGCCAGCAAAGACAGCGCTGCGGAGAGCGCACACGTGGCTGCGCCAACGGGCAACCAGGCCCAGCAAGCTCTCTGGGAGGCCCCCGATGATGCTGAGGCAGCCGAAGGGAAACGCAAAGTCGCCCAGTTCGCACGGGGCGCCTGCATGCACCCAGTAGCCGACGAGCGAGGCAGCGCTCGGACGGGGGCGGCGAAGGCAGCAGCTTGCGAGCGCCCGCGGGGCCAGGAGCGTTACGCCAGCGGCGCGCGATGTTCGGAGGGGGAGGACCCCAGTGAATAAGGCACTGACAGGTGGCGTCAGCGAGGAAGGCAGGCTGGATACGCTCGTCGCAGATGGAGGTCTTCCGCGCGCGGGCGCCCGAACGCGAGACGCGGCGGGGAACGGCGATGCGCCGAACCAGAGGCCCGAGGACCCTGCGCCCAAGATCGGATCCACGCCCCAGGAAGCGCAGCAGCCCCCGCCAGGGGGCCGACGGGCACGCGCTCCTGGCGTCGCAGACTAGGAGCGGGCGCGAGGCACGGGTCAACTTGGAGAGACGTTCGCGGTCGACCAGGAGGTCGTGAGCGGGCGGACTGCCTGCGCTGAGCTCGCGAGGATGGAGGCGGAGCACGTGGGCGAGGACGGGGGCGAAGCCTGGGCGATCCACCAGCTTGCTCAGCCATTTGCCCAGCTCGTTGCCGAGAGGCGGGGGCGGTCCGTGGGGGGGCCAAGACGCGCTGGTCCTCGGCGGGTCCTCGGCGGCAAGCGCCTCGGCCCAGCGGCCCGCCACTGGGCGGGCTGCTCTGGGGGCGGCGGGGGCGACGCCACAGATGGCCGCCAGCGATGGCTTGGAGGACGCGACGACTTCGCCACGGCCCCCGCAAAGATCCATTTTCTGCGCTCCAAACTCACGGCTGGCCTCGGCAACGGCGCAGTTCATCAGAAGGATACAGCCGCACTTGGCGCGAGAGAATGCGAGCAGTCGGCGGAGCCGAGAATGTGAATGTCGCGAGACGAGCCCGGCATCGAATTCGCGGTGGAAGCCGAGCAATTGGGCAACCTTTCGGCGATGCCGCGAAATGCGCCCAGCACCCGCGGAGGCGCGGTCGAGCGGCGGCAGGGGGTGGGAGGCGGCAGGCTGCCGAGGGGCAGCGGCCACCCCTGGTCTAGGATCCTGACCAGGTGCTTGTAGGAGTGGCGACAAGTGACAAGAACCTTTGTGGTCGTGCCTGCGAGGTGCGGCGTCACGATCTACAGGATC